AATACGTTGTGGACATTTTCTATGTCAATGAATATAGCTATATATTCATTGACATTCATACAATGGCATTCATTGTATGTAGGCACCATAATTAATTTAAGCCATCTCCTATTGCCAGACATTTGGACTTTCAAATTTTTCTGTTGAAGCAACACTGCAGTGAACATCCCTGCAGATGCATTTTTGTGCATCTGTCCAGTTGATTGTCTTCTTAAATAATTTTCTGAACATGGGGTCATGGATCAAAGGCTATGCTTATTTTATATTGTGATACATATTTACATATTGCCCAATGTTCTCTAGAAGTGCTGTACCAATGATACATCTACCAATAACATCTATCAATACCTGGAAAGTTCCTTTAAATGTCTTGAAAAATTTTTTTTCATCTTCATTTGGGCCCATTTTCCTCACTTATAAAATAAGGAAGATGAAATATATCAGCTTTTTAGAATCAGAACCATTTGAAAATTTTTAAACACTGTTGAACAGGAACAAATTGTTGTTTCAGAAAAACACACCTGTGCAAAAACACAGAAATTTTTACATGCTATTTATGAGAATTCACAGACTATTGAAGTCAATTCACAGAGTCGTTAGGATTTCACTCCATGAATCCAAGTAAAGAATCTCTGAATGAGGTGATTTTAAAGTTGCTTTCTCCTGTTAACACTAAAGCACACACACTTCTTGCTCACATGTCACACACATATTCACACACTGATAAGCACACAGAGTTCTAATGCATATTTGGAGAAACTTTGACATCTGCTTGATACAGAACCTAGTCTCATTGAGATCTGTAAAATCACTTGAGTGTGTATGGTTATTGGAATGAATTTCTATTTATTTCAGGTTCTTCAATGGCGAGCCCACCAGGAAGAAGTAGCAAGATTGGAAATGGAAATTTCTGCCAGAAGAAGAGAAAAGGAAGAGGAGAAAGAGAAACTGTGGAAGAAGAAGGAATTGTTACAAAGAGAAGAGAAGAAAAAAAAAGTATAAAATCTGCTGTTGCAGCGAATGTGTGAATGAATGTTTAATTGCCTGACTGAGCTTTGTTTGATATTGGTGTTTGACACGGAATTCTCATAGGCAGGTCTTAGAAAGTTTCATAATGATCTAGTGCTGTCTTGCTCCAGTTCACAGGAGCTTGAAAGACTTGTGGATGTGAAGAAGAACCTGCTTTGACCTGCACAAGCACAGGTACCTGTGATTAGAAGAGATGCTGTAGGTGAAGGAAAGACAGGGTTTGTGACTGTTGTTAAGCCTTGCACCAAGTAGGGATGGGGCAAACACCAGGCTTACAGGGATGGCATTTTGGTTGACTGCAGAGCAGCAAAATGACTGTCAAAAGTTGTCCATGAAAGAAAGGCCCATGTTTTGAAAGATGGGAGAGAAATAATTGTGAGCTTGTAGATGTGCTCTTGATATTTAGTCTGACAGCAAAACAACAGCAACACAAACAGGAATCCAAGGAATAATTAAACTCTAAGCCAAATTCATAGTTAACCTCTTGCAGTTGTATACGACCAAGGCATATGTTTTATTTTATGTTTAAAAATATATCTTACACTTAGAAATTATTTTTTAAAAGTACAGAGAATGATATAATAAACTCATTAGTACTCATCACTTAGCATTTTAACTGTTAATATTTTTCATCCTGTTTCAGATTTTTATTCTACCGATAAAGCTGAAATCTTCTTTTGAGGACCTACTCAGTACCATTTCCCTTCTTCCCTCTCCAAAGGCAACCTTGATCATGAACTTTACTTTTATCTTTCCAGGCCATCTATTGCTTTTAATATTTTAATATGCGGTTGGTAACTTTTAATGTTTTGCATGAATACTGTCATACTGTATCATTCTGTAGCATGAACTTAATTTGACGTTACATTTTTGAGATATACCCATGTTAATACACAGAGACCTAGTTCACTCCTTTTAAATGCTACGTAGTGTTCCATTATAGAACCAGGCCACCACTTAACCCTTCTCTTAGTGGGTTGACATTTAACTTTCTAAAGTTTTGTTCTTACAACTGTGCTGTATCAGCCACCTTTTATGTGTCTACTGGGGCATATGTGCAGAGCTTCTCTAGGGTACACCCAGGAGGGGAATTACTATGTTGGAGGGTTTGTAAGCTTTCAACTTCATAAGATTTTTTTATAAGAAATTACAACGTTTCTTTTTTATTTTTGCCAATCTGATAAATGTGAACAGTATCTCATTGTTTTAAACTGGATTCCCCTGATCACGTGTGAGATTGAAAACCTCCTCATGTTTATTGGGCAGTTATCTTCATGAATTGCTTTTTTTTGGTCCATTTGTCCATGTTTTCTTCATTCATCTGTAGAAGTTCTTTATAAATTCTGGGTACTATTTCTTTTTATCCATTATATGGGTGGCAGATGTTTTCTTCCATGGGTCATTTGCCTTTAAATTTTGTCTGTAGTGTCTGTAGTTTCATGGAAGTTTAAAATGATCAAGTAATCAAAGTCCTTAAACTTTCCTTTGTGAATCGCGCTTTCCTTTAGGAACTGTGACCTGGTAGTGAGGGCATCTTTACAGATAGGTTTTATGTTCACTTCTGCTAAGGGCCCTGTGCATTCTGCCGGCCTGGGACAAGTGTGTATCTTAACTTTGAGACATGGGACAAATGCTGACAGCTCGGGTGGGTGCTGACTTAGCACTGATACACAGCACTGGCCCGGGTTCTGTAGTTGACCCCTTTCCTCCTCTGGGCCCAAGCAGAAAGTTAGCCTTTGTCACTTCCCTGGGGAGTGTTCATGGTGGATCTAGTTCCCATGTTGTGTAGGGACAAGTCCAACATGACTTCTTGCTCTTTGTCAGTAGCTTGGCTCCAGTTCCCATGTGCATAGGTCCCACAGTTAACATGAAAGGCCCAGCCACCAGCTTCTCAGACCCAGCTCAGGTCCAGGTTTCCCCAAGAGCCCCTGGGCTTTGGCTCCCTCTCACTGCTGTGACTTTGACTTTCAGCTTTCTTTCCAACCTTAGAGCATTGTGTGTGTGTGTGTGTGTGTGTGTGTGTGTGTGTGTGTGTGATAGTTTGTTCAAAATATCTATGCATTTAAAGTGGGGAAGGAGGTTTCTATGTTAACTCAGACGTACTGACCAAAATTCTGGCTGTCTTTATATATACTAACCACAACTCTAGATTCTCTTTGTGTAGCTGCTTTCTGTATTGGATACACATTGTAGTTCCTTGGTGTTTAACAGCAGCGTGGCAGAAAAAGCCCTGTGGGCAACTCCCGTTACTGGAGACCGGTGCCATGCTCCCCGCATCTGCTCCTTCACCTACCTGGTTTGCTCTTCACATAGAAGAGCAGCAATAGAAATAGATGAGTTCTTCTTCCCAGTCATTTATCTTTTAGGGGAATAATATTGTCTTTTTGCTGGAATAACATTTTTATTTGTATCCAGTGCCAAAGTTTACCCAGATAGGTGCCCGGATCCTTTCAAATACACCTTTACGTTATTAGAGCACTTTTTCTTCTGGGCTTTAAAACTCTAGTTGAACATAATAGTCACAGCTTGGATGCTTTTATCTCAATACTCAAGGAAAGTTTTGATTCATAAGCTGTTAGGGGTGATAATGGTAATATTTCAGAAGCATCTCTCCATTTTTGAAATTATTATCAAGATAAAGTCAAAAGAGGATGCCTTTCCATAAACTAGCTCCAGGAGCTATTGCAAGAAACATAATCACTGTGCTAGAAGAACCTTAAAATGCTTGATGTGTAATATTGGTCCCAGCACCACCCTTTCGCTAGATGAAGCTCTTTGGGTGGCTTGAATGACATCAAAACTGCTCCGCATATCAGCGTCTTAGGAGCTTTTGCTGGTGCCTGATTCCTGTAGTTCTGTGGGCTCCAGGGCGAGGGAGGCTTCAGCCTTGCTTCCAAAATGGAGATTTCGAGCAAGGCTCACATAAAAAGGAAACATACCCCTTCCTTGGTCTCACATGTCATAATTCTCTCCCAGGTTTAGCCAGCTCCTAACTGAGCACTGACATCACCCACATGGTATGACTGAGGGGTGGGGAGCATTATCAGGTAAGTCAGGATAACTCCACTGGCCATGTGACCTTCAGCCTTACCTCGGAGACATTTCTGGAGAGGAATCTATTATTTTGTGATCTCTTAGCCTCAAGTGACATGGCACCGGTAAATACCAATAGACCAACGCTTCAGTGGAACTTTAGCACTTGGGGTTCCCTATTTTCCTCAGGCAACCTGGCAAATCCTCAGAATTATATTCATCCTGCAGATACCCAGGGGAGAGGGGAAACAGTCTAAAACAAGAGAGGGTAGGCTATCATAAACAGACGGCAGCCTACAGGGCTGGAATGGTGCTGCTTCTCAGAGGACTCAAGAAGCTCTGTGCTTAGGAGGGAATCCACAGTACCTTCCCAATTCAGATCAAAGCCATTCTCTCAGTGTGGGAATTGGTGGGTTCTCATGAGAGCAATTCATCATGAAATCATAAAATCTCTTTTCCTGTGTTTTTAAATCTAGTAATATACTGATCTAAAGGAATAAGTGTGGGGGAAAAGGTCAACACAGAAGAATGATATAAGACAAATTCCCAGACTTTAAACTCTGCTTCCTCAGGATTATTTGGATTTCAAAGGGCCAATGAAAAACACCTGTGGATAGGCAGGCTTCTAAGATGGGCCTCAAGATTTTGTGCCCCCGGTGAGATGTGCATGCTGTATAATCGCCAGAACAGTAAATACCATGGATTCGGTTGTAATATGTGGCCCAGACAACCTTGAGAAAGGGAGATTGCCTGGATGCATGACCTAATCATAAGCCCTTTAAAAGCAGGGAGTTTTCTCTCGCTGTTCATAGGAAAGATAATCAGAGATTTAAAACCCAAAAAGGCCATGACCTACCATTCTTGACTTGAAGATTGAGAGGTCACATGCCAAGAAATGTGGGTGGCCCCTAGAAGCTAAGAGTGACCCTAGCTGACAGCCAGAAAGGAAATGGGAACCTATAACTGATAGTCCTGTAACTATAAGGAACTGAATTTTGTCCAAAACAAGAATAAGCTTGGAAGCAGGTTTTTCTCTAAAGCTTCCAGATGAGAATTCGGTTTTGTCAACACCTTGATTTACCCTTGTGACATCATGAGCAGAGAGCCCAGCCACACCATGCTGGACTTCTGACTTACAGGATTCTGAGCTAATAAAGAAGCGTTGTGTTAAGCTGCTAAGTTTTTGGTAATGTGTTACACAACAATTTTAAAAACTATACAGGTTTTGGTATCTGTAAATGAAATGCTGCCGAAACATATATCTAAAAATGTGGAAGTGGCTTTGGAATTGGAAAGTGGGAAAAGCTGGAAGAATTTTGAGGGGCACAATTGATAAAAGGCTAGAATGCCATGAATAGGCTGTTTGTAGAAATACAAATGTTAGAGATGTGGCTGGTGAGGGCTCAGAAGGAAGCAATGAGTATGCTATTGGAAACTGGAGTAAGTGGGGGTGGGGAATCAATGTTATGTAGTGGCAGAAAGCCTAGGGAAAATACTTCTAAGTAATGAACTTCATATGTGATGAACTAAAAAGATTTCTAAAATGTGTCAACTTTCTAGGTGATCTCAATCCATCCAGTATAATTTATATGCCCTAAATATGCTGACTAACACCATTTAATATCTCTGATCTGGACTTCTCTCTTAAACTGCAAATTCACACATCCTACTCCTGCCTCAAATCTGATATGCCCAAATGTATTCTTGTTTTACCCCACAAACTTACTCTGGAGATAAGAGATTATTGCCAACAGCATGGCTTAGAGGAAAGGCTGGGTGCCCTAATACAAAACCCTTTGTAACAACCTCAAAAAATCAAAAAATCAGACTACTCAGACCCTTCCAAGATATTAAGGGTGTTTCTCATAGATCTTCTCAAACTAGAGAGCCTTTGGGAAGTTTAAAGGTAATATTTTTTTCTCAGCCACATCAAC